CAAAGAAAATCACAAAAGAATGTAGCAAGAAGGTTTTTGTTTTAAACCTGCCGAAATGAGACTTCGGCCATGTCTTCGGGTTCATTGCTCGAACCTAAAGAACTTAATGGCCGAGCCCAATATTTTAGACTGCTTCTTAATTCACGTGGTCAATGAAGGTTATCTACGTTCGATGGCCACTGAGGTGGCCAAGAAATATAGATAACACATTTCGGCGCATAAAATTTTCGGTGAAATAAATAACTGGGCACCTGACATTGAATATTTTCTCTGTTCAGACTTGTTATGACAAATTGACAACAGAAAGTAATCGAGCCTTACAAAAGTCGGGGTCACTTCTTGAGAGGGGATGCCGAGGTCTTTGTCCTGGGGGTGAATTGGAGTTTCTGACGTCGCTTCAGGTTCAACGATACGCTTCTTTCCGCAATTGGCTGCAGAATGAGCAACCTGATCGATCGCCTCAACCACGGGGGAGGATCAACAGTAGGAGCTTGGGTTGGTCGAGAGCAACTCTCCAGCGGAATCTCGTCACTCTCATTATCATCCTAAAACAAAAAGTGTTAATTATTTTTTTTGCTTAATCAGTAAAGGGATTTGACGGCATAATCATACATCTTCTAAGATGACCGCCGAATGTTTTGGATTCTTAGGGAGATCATTCCCAATCGAAGAGGTTGTCTCCCCTGGTACAGCTACTCTTGTTGACCTTGGAGATGCAGGCAAGTCGACTGACGGTACGGCAACCGGCTCAACCACGACCTCGGGGACTTCAGGTATTGGTTGAGCTTGGGTTGCCGGGCTAGCCGAAGAAGGCCGATTCTCTATCGAAGCCTAAACAACGGGAGCAGGAGAAAATGCACTCGGAGTAGTTGTCCTAGTAGTGTGGTTGGAGATAACATGAATCTCCCGTGCTCCCTTCTTCGCCAATTTCTTGACGCGTTTTGGGGGACGGGGAGTTTCACCTGCTGTCTCGATGTCCAAGTGAGGTCGTTTGCTCAGTGGGTTTTGTGCAGTGGCTTTGGTTTTCTTGGAAAAAGGGGCCAATTTTTTCTTGACCACGTCCGCTTGTTTTAGTACCCGACCACCTAAGAAATTGAAGTCTCGTTAGTAAAATCATTCAAATATCTGAAGAATAAAGGTAGAAACAAAGGTATACCTTGGGGCGCCTCTTGAGATTGAGGGGCGGAGGATTTCTTGGGCCGGTCATCAAACATTTTGTTGACTATTTCCTCAACCGAAGTGTCAAAAAAGTTGTGAGTATATTCTTCCCATTAGTGGCCGAAGGCATCAGTGCCGAGAGATTCAGGAAAATTTGGTTGAACACGAAATTTTTTACATCGCTCCTGAAATTCTTTCTCAACGTCTCTACACTCCCTTTCTGAGGAACCAGAGACACGCCCTCAGTCTAGAAGGGAGGGAGAAGAAAGTAAAGGCACTGGGCAACCTTGGAGGTAGCCGAGCTGTCGAGCAGCAAAGTCTGGGTGATAGACTTCCCAACTTGCTCGACGAGTATCACAACCAAGGGGAAGGTCACGAGTTAACATGAACAACCAAGTTTTGAAGAAAAGCGGCATCCTCGCTTTCACTCCAAGTCGATGTAGGAAGTCTGATAGAGTGGGGGTATTCTTGACGACGACATATAAAAAATTCATCATCAGAAATGACATCCAGGCCGAAGAGGTGTTTAAAGACTTATTCAGCTCGGTGAGGAGGCACTGGTCGGGAGGCCAATTGAAGGCCGAGCACTATAGTAAACTAGAGGTTGAAGACTTCTGGCCGAAGTGTGGAGAAATAAACCTACAACTGGAGTTGGAACACCCAGAGAGGTCCATTCTGGTGCGGGTCGATCTTGTTGATGGTTGTTTCTGCCAAGCAACGTAGAAGGTTACGTTGATGGCAGGACTGGGTGCCAGAGAGTGACCACTAGCCAGGGCTTCCGCCACCGGCATATTCTCGACCAATCATTTATTCGACTTGGTACAACAAATGAACTTGTTGTACCAGTAAAATAGGAAGGCCTCATGTTCCCCCTTCCGTAAACTCGTTTCTCCCCGACCAGCTGGAGGATAAAGGTGTTGTAGTTCAGAAAATTCTTGTGCAATTTCTGAACATTGTTTTTTGAAGGCTCTTGACCTTTTTGGCTCAACGTCTTGACAGCCCGATCATCGAATAACACCTTAAGGTTAAGATTTGAGGGGCATCGAACAAGGGTGGCGTCGACTGGGATGCCAGAATGAGGAGTCCCGATGATAGCCGAGATGTCAATGATGGTAGGGGTCATAGGGCCGAATGGAAGGACCATGGTGTTGGTGGCCGAGCACCAAAGGCTTAGAGCTGCCATGAGGAGCTCTTTATCCATTATAATCTCCATGGTCGAGAACTTGATAGCGTCGTAGATACCAAGAGCTTTCCATTCTTTACCGAAGAATTTTTCCATTCGAACGACCCATGCCACCCAATTCGCATTGGTCGAGGGCCAAGATCCTTAGGGTTTTGTCTGGCACCACTTTGACCAATCGAATCTCTACAGCAAACCTGCCAAGCAGTGTTTTTTTAATAGGTTGGTGATAGATGACGGCACCATATCCTTGAAGGGTGGGCTCAGAACTTGGTGAGTAGTGTTTAACTCACCCTCGAAACGTAGAGTCATGATGGCGTGCTGATCGATGAAATCCTTGCACTTGTTGCACTCGGGGGAGAGTTCTGAGACAAAGGAGGCCATTGATGAAGGCTAAAATTTCTGAGATGGAAGTTTTAGATTCCCTAGTTTTTGAAGGTTTTAAGAACAGACCGGCGAGAAAATTTCAAAGGTTTTGGAGAACGTAAGGTACAAATGGAAGGGATCCAGGTATTTATAGGCATTTGGGAACGAAAAGCTAAACGGTTGATTTTCAAAATCAAGGGTAGAATCAAGCGGGAAAGGTACTAATCATTGTACATGCTCAGAAAATTGGGATGCGAGGATCGAGGTTTTCGCAGTTTGAAGACGCATGATGGCTTGTTACAGCGGTTTTTAATGCAAGAGAGACGTTTCGACGGTCGCATGTTTTATAGGATCATGATTAAAGGCTGTTAGGGTAACCACGGGGTTGACATGTGGCAAGACAATTTGGAAATCGAGATCGTGGGGTTACGTCTCATAAGTGCGCATGGTGGTAGTTCCTAAGAGTTGATTTTTCACTTCTTCAAGGTCGAGGCTCGAACTAAGGAGTATAGGTTGGCGACCTCAAATGCGAGAGGGTGATGTTTGGGCCAAAAAATATTATTTTGGGCTAAGTTTAGAATTGTTCTCAGCCCAGTGTTGGTAGGGCCAAGGTTAGAATCCTTCTCGGCCCAGAGGCCGTGTACAGATGTTGCTGGGGGTTATCTAGCTCATGGGCCGCACGGTCGAAGTTGGCATTATCCCATTGGGAATTAGGTATGTGGATGAGTCTTGTTATGAGAATGAGTTTCGACAGGATCAGGATGTTGGAATTGAATATGGCCAGGTAACGAGTTATGTTCAAACTCCTAGTAGGAATAGGATTGGCCGAGATAAAGTTGGATCAGGGAAAGGAGTTATAATTCGGGAGTGATTGGGATTCAATACAGGTTGGCTGTTATAAATAGAGAGGGAAGACATCGAAACAAGCCCCTCCAATTCAACATACAAATTGCCCTGCGCATACCCTCGCTCTACGCGAAACCTCTCAACAACCTTGAGATTTTTGTTTTTCTCTTTTTTCGCCAACACATCTTCAGTTTGGATAAATAGCACTATGAAGGCAACCGGTGAACATCTTTAGTTTGGATAAACAGCACTGTTGCCGTAGAATCAGCCGACCGTGGAGCACCTTCAGTTTAGATAAACAGCAGTGCGACAAGGCCGACTGGTTATCTATCCAAGTCTCAGTCGAGAAGGATTTTCAAATCCTTATCGGCAAAGGTCATCTCGTTAGCCTTCTCAGCGTAGCGAGGTGTTACAAGTTACTATACTTGGCGCATTGAACGCCGAGTCGTTTATGATTAGTTATTCACAAGTAGGTTTTAGAGTTCAGCATTCTGATGGCCGAACCACTTTCACAATCAAGACATATATTTGTTTTGAGTACTTGTGTCCTTATAATCTGGTGTCGATTCGGCGTGCTTGTACTCTTACGAATATAATCACGGTAACCGAATCCGGCGCTGACGATTTGTGAACTTCGCAGAACTAGTAGCTTTGTCTTCAAGCTCTAGAACCTGAAAGCCGAGGCGTGTTCCTTCCTCGGCCGCAGTCGCAAGATCGAGAAGTCAGCCGTGCACCCAACGCAACATCAACAAATTTTACTCCTCGGCCGAGTTTGGCCGACAAGTTGGCACGCCTCGCATACAACTGAAGGATGTAATTAGCTTACTAATTATTCGGCCTGCGCGCCATGTAGGCTTGGTAGTTTTTAGGATCAACAATATTATATAATTGTAGTCTGCAACTAAACAAACGAACAACTTGAGTGGGGGCATCTGCCCTCAGTGAGCCTTCATTGGCTCCGTCCGTGCAAACGAGCCATAAGTTGTAGTTTTCCTTTTTTTTTTTTTTTTTTTTTTTTTTTTTTGGTTTGGTGTTTGGTGGTTTTTGTTTGTTAGTACTTATGTATCCTGTTGAGTTAGTAGTTTATATTTAGCAAGTGACAGATATTCAAGTTGTAACCTTAAAAAGTTGAATTTAGTTGTTCGAAGCTACGTTAAATCTGAATGCCTGCACAGGCCAAGAAAAGAAAAACAACTAACATAAGTAAAAGAATATTATTCTGTCTGAAATAAAAGGAAGAAGAAATAAGTATTTGTGTGTTAGACTTTTAGCTAGCAGTTCAATCTCAAACGGTTTTCCTCAAGAGCTTTGCTGGAAATTGTCCGCGTCCGGAGGATGGGTGTAACAGCCCACCCTAATAATAATCACAAACAATTTACTTCCTCCCCTTAATTGCAAAACCCTTTGGGGTTTTCTGGTTGTGGTTGATGGTGGTGTATCGATAGCTTTGGGACATGGACTTTCGACATAATGCATCGCCGCGGAGAATAATGGTGGTAGCAGATCCAACCCAAGAGTCAGCAGGTGCACTCCAATATGCACTGTCTAAAACTGTTTCCGAGAACGATGAATTGATTCTCTTCCATGTCGAAAACCCTAATTCATGGCGATACACGATAACGATGTTCCTTAAAAGACCTAGGGGTGGCTCCGCCACCGTAGAAGGAGGTTTAGGGAACACGGAGTTTCTTGAAGAAATGAAGAATGCATGCAAACATGCAAAACCAAAAGTACGTGTGCGGGTAGAGAAGGTGGCGTTAATGGAAGGCAAGGACAAAGCAAGTATTATTCTAGATCAAAGCAAGGTTCTTGGGGTGGACGTCCTTGTTATAGGGCAACGACGGAGTCTTTCTACAGTTATCTTAGGGTGAGTTTGCTCATACATTTTCATTGCCTTTTAACAAGAACCTCGTTGATCATTTTACTTTTTGTGTACTGTTTTTTAATATCTGAAAGTGCTTTATAACAACCGAAAGCTTTTTTTTAGTATTTTTTTAGGGTTTTTTAAATATAGATCATTGCAACTCTTATTTTCTAAACAAAAACTTACCTAGTTTGACAAAAAAAAAAAAAACAAAAAACAAAAACTTACCTAGTTATAAACTTTCAAATAAAACCCAAATTTGAAAATGACTACCAAGTAGAAAAATAATTGACCTTTTATTACAAGATATTTACAACTTATATCACAATATTCAAAATAAATCAATAAATGTAATTACTCACCTTAATTATAATGAACAAATAATTATTACACATATTATTACCCCTAACATAGACACACACACACACACACACACACACACACACACACACATTCAAATGTATATAGTACTACCATAAGCTCAATATATATATATATATATATGCACAGTACTACATATATGTTCAAACATATTATACTAATTTATCTACCTATATGTAAATTTATGATGAGCAACTAACATAGTTTGTAGGTAAATTGATGTTTGAATCAAATAACAATCTTTTATTTAGTAGGTAATATATTTTCCATGTATTATTACATATATTTGGCACATTTTATTATTATAAGATATATGTACAAATAATAGGTAAATTAATTTTGAATCAAATAAAATTTCTTTATTTTGTAAGTAAATTAATTTTGAAACAAATAACATTCTTCATTATGTAGGTATTTTATTTTGTATGTATCATATATTGGTTACATTTTATTATTATATGTACAAATAATAGGTAAACTAGTATTGAATAAAAAAAATTATTTTTTATGTAGGTACATTATTTTGCATCTATCATGGGTTTGCTTTATTATGTAGGTAAATTATTTTGCATGTACTTTACATTTATTGGGTAAATTATTTTGCTTTTTTTAAGCATCTAACATTTTAAAATTTGAATAGTAGGTGCACTAAATCAAATAACATTTTTTTGTAGGTAAATTATTTTGCATGAATTTTTACGATATCAAGTATGTTTTTTTTTTTTTTTTGTTATATATGTGTGTGTGAGTGAAATTTACCAACATTTATATGTAAAATATAATTTGATTGATTAAACAAAGCATGTATTATTACATATATTAGACATGTTTTATTGTTATCATATATTAGACAATTAATTTATTATTTATTATTTTTGTAAAATCATTAAATCTTCCTTACACAATCCATATAGAATTAATTGTGTACATTAAACCTTCAAATAGGGGTATTTTAGGCATCAAAAATTTTAAATGTGTAAAGTCAAAATATAATTAATGAATTTTGCTGATGTGAAATCTAGTCAATGGGTTTTATTAGAGTAAAAAACTTATGTTGGATTTTATGTGGAGAAAATTAAGTTTTAGGGCCTAAAGTCATATTTTCAATTGTTTTTAATACCTTAAAGATATTTTGGGTCATAAAAAACGCTTTTTTGACGAGCAGCAGTGCTCGCAAAAGTAATCCAAATTCTCATCTCCCAAGCCTTACAAAAATGCTGATATTTGAACTTCCATCGGAATTTTTGTTTTGGGTCAAAGTGTTACTGAGATTTGGTGTGCGAAAACAGATTGATCAACTTGAATATTTGCTAATCTCTTTGTTTTGTGTACCTCAAACAGATACAGGAGGCCTGGAGGTTCCACGCGAGGGACAAAACCAATAGACACAGCAGAGTATTTGATTGATAAAAGCAGTTGCACCTGCGTCGGAGTACAGAAAAAGGGACAAAATGGAGGCTACCTTCTCAATACAAAGACCCACAAAAATTTCTGGCTTCTGGCTTAACAAGCACTCGAATTACCGGAGAAGCACTTGCGCTTTCGTCTTAGATGCTTTGTTATGCCGTTCGTCTTCTGCATTCGATTAATGATATACATTGATCGTTGGGACAGTAGAATTAAATCGAACAAGAAGTTTGGTTCGCTAAATCGGTTGACGTCTAGACATAGTGAGCTTGACGATGAGACTATATTTGTTGTGCTGATCTTGGTTGGTTAAGGAGTGAGCCATATATGTATGAAATCGTTCAATTCCAAATGAAGAAAAATAGGTTTGTACATACGTAACAATGATTGGCTTCTGTAAACCAACATCAAAATGTTTATAGTAGAACCAAATTAATGAGATAGCAGTGTCTTTTCGTTCTAAAACAAAGTTTGTACCCTGCTAAACAAAAAGGAACCGTTTATCGGTGTGCACGCTTCTGCTATATAATCTGCATCGTCAAAAACTTGCTATTTTAGCTCATAAGAGTCATGCTTCCACTCAATGAAACCAAAAACAGTAATGTAGCAATGACGATATGTCAAGTATTGCGGATTGGGTAGAAAAAGGAGAATCGGATAAATAACAATTGTAATATATTACAAGGACCAGCAGAACTTCACATTCGTCTACTCGGCTGACAAACACGTGAAGTGGAGCAACAGAACAAAAACAAAATTGTTGCAGCCACTGCTACAAATACATACGTATATAGGTTAAAGGATTGCCAACCATCTCTCCATTTTCCCTAACAAAAGCAACCTTGTACATAAAGGTATCTGCGGAATTATCTACAAACTGCCACACCATCCAAGGAAAGATTGGACGTGCCGAAATTCCTATGCTTACCATCAGCCACATTGATCAGATGGTATCCTTGATTAGGGAGCTGGTTGATTAGAAGAGTCTCTAATTGGCAAGCCAAGCTCTTCCCCGGGACAGTGAAATAAAGGAAATTGGCGTTCTGCAGTCCTTCCTTTGAACGATGTGCACGGACTCGTCCCTCCAGATCATCCGTCTATGAAATCAATATGTAGACACATTAAATTGAAACACATAGCATAATAAAAAGTTTCATAATACACGAGTGTCATTTTTTCAGCCAATGACCAAGACCATTAATTATCAAGGACATAGACCGACCTTGAGAGTGACTATCATGACTACTTTTTTCTTAAAACCAGAAATAACTGAAGGGAATTTATGTTAACAAAAAATTACCTGCCCGACATACAGTCGCTTATCAGGCCTGAGAATCACATAAACACATGACAGACCAATGGTTGATGGAGGTGGCTGTTCCCTTGTACCAATTAGAACACAGCGTATCTCAGTAAGTTCTGATGTTTTTTTCTTCTTATAGAGCTCAGTCAGCATCTTTTGGCAAATCAAGGTCATTGCACTCTCAACCTCCTTCTGTAGGACTTCCATTCTGTTCATTGATCCTGTCACAGCTTCAACTTTAGCACTACTTGACAGGGGATGGGATCTCTCAGAATTGCTAAAACCTGTGGAACTTAACTGTTCAACTTTTGTGTCATTCTTTCCTATAAGTACCTCATTTGCGTAAACTGAATGATACAGGTCTTCAGCTCTGTCGATTATTGTTTCAGGAATCCCTTCCCTCTTAGCCGTTTCAAATGCTAAGCTTTCTCTACAGATCCCATCCATCAACTTCCAGGTCGGTTTTGTTTGGCCATCCACATATACAGTTCCCATTGCTTTGTTTACAGTGTTCTTCGTATTAAGAGGCAAACTAAATATCCCATGCAAGTGAGTAGATATGATACCAAGACAACCTATTGCATCAAGAGTTTCAACAATACTACCAGCAATACATGTACCCTTTGCTGTTTCTGTTCCTCGGCAGATTTCATCTACAAGTACAAGACTTCTCTTAGTGGCACCAGTAACAATGGACCGAATTTCTGACATCTCCACCTGAAACAATGAAATTGGGTAACATGAAGTGTGTAAGGCTGCAACCATTAAAAGTTGATGTTCCGATTCCAGTTGTATGGGATTCAGATGATTATAAATATGTATGAGGAATCAGAAAATCACATCAAACAAAACACCAAGGCAAGTTTTTCTTTTAGATTACTTTGTGATTTGATCCAAACATTGTTCTATATAACATGTAAGACATGGGGAAGAAGGTGAGGGAGAGAAGAAACTACAACGCAAGAGAGACGAAGATAGAGTAAAGTTGGGTCTTAAGTCCCAAACAATGACAAAACTGAATCCAATTACAGAAGGCTTGTTTACATAGGCAGTCCAATAATAAAATTCCGCGATAAAACGTAAAGGAAATTAAGGGGCTCAAGTCCTCCCTGCTTGAAGTGGAAAGATTAAGGACATGTAGCTGAGCATGAAGAGCTTAACTAATTTAAGAGAAACTAAACTATTTACTACATTACTTACTGACTATAGGCAACTAAGACGGCATATAATGATATCACACCTGAAAGGAACTTTTCCCATCAGCAGGGCTGTCATAAGATTTCATGTGAAGCATAATCGAATCAAAATGAGGAATCGAGGCTGATTCTGCAGGCACCATAAATCCACATATTCCAAGTAATGCGGCAGCACAAATTGATCGTAACAAACTTGATTTACCACCACCGTTTGGTCCAGTCAAAAGAAACAATGACTGCATATCAACAGTGTTATTTACAGCACTACCCTCTGCTACATTCAACCAGTATGGCGATAAACCAACTATCTTCATCCCATTTCCTCCATTCAATGGTTTTACATCCTACATCCAACAAATAAATATATATAACAGTCAGTACAGATGTAAGAAACATGATATGGATATGTGAACTGTCAATCAAAAAGGACCAGAGTGATTTATTGACACTACCCTCGACCTACAGGACTCTCCAAGGGTGGGAAATACCCATTTCCTTCTTCTCCCTTCACTGCAATATGCCGGCAATAAAATCAGAATACAATAGATACCACACTAAAGATGTGATTAATAAAGCAACCTCCCAAGAGATCAAATGTGTGGAATTCAAAGAATAGTTATAAAACCTACAATAAAAAATAACATGGATGATGGTTCTTACTTCTTATTGTTAGTCAGTTCTTAGCTAACAGCTTAGGATTTGATCAAAGCTTCACTAAGGCTGAGTTTTCGTTAAAATTCTATTGCATCAAATAATAACTCCATGAAAACTTTCAACTTATTTAATTCCTTTAACATGAGCAAAGAAAACCAACCTCCAGAGGTTTAGTGAAACAACAAAACTGCCCTCATTGAACGAGGGAGTAAAAGTAATATCTAAAACCAGATTGAAGATCTGTGTAACATATGCTTAAGATGATCAAAGAGAATGAGAAAAACTAATACAAGTGATACTTTGATAGTCTTGGTAAGTTCTTACATGAAGAAAACAACCGAATTATTATGACTACCCAGTACCCAATGAAAATACTGTCCACAGAATAAAATTATAGTACAGATAGACACTAAGCATTGAAAACGATCCCAACAAATTATTCTAGCTGACCATCTAACTATTAAATCACACCGCTGATTACAATTGCAGATAATACGAGTACTGTTTAAGGGCATTTTAAAGTCATAATACCCAACCTCACATGAGCAAATAATGCCTTTGCAATAACTAGAAGCATTGAGGAGAATACAAGGATATTGATCTTCGCTTGTAGATCAGAAGAAAGTCCCCTCAACAATTCCAATACCCTTGTTTTGGCCTTGGCACCTGCCTCATGGTACCTACAACAGAAAAAGAAAAAGAAAATAAAAGGTTAAGTAACTCTATTCAATGTAGAGGACTAAATGAAGAAATAAAGAGTGGGTTAGCCAAATTGAAGAAGAATGAAAGCAACTTCCATATCAAGGAAAATAGCACACCTTGTTAAAGCGTCCTCCACTTTCGCTGTGGTAAACCACTCTTCTCCAACCTTTCTACCTTTTGAATCTAGCGCAGGTTTAAGCTGTTTAATCTGTTCTTCCCCAGGGGTACCACCCCAAACAGCAGGTGCAAACCGTTTACCCTTAAACCAAACAGCTTCGTGCTCCCGTGCATATAATATTTCTCCTTTTGGGCCTCCAAGTGGAGCTGTGGTGGCCTTTATTCTAGAAATAATAGGCAGGAAATCTTCAGTAACCTGCAAAGTTCTAAATGCTATGAACATATGTACATCAAAATGCTTATAATTAGGAAAGAAAATGTTGAAATCTTAATGTAGTGCCTTCTAGGACAATATAATTTAAAGTTAATTTTGAGACATGTAAACGTGTGAGCCAAAGTTGAGTGCTGGAGACCTACTGCTAGAGATAACGCCTCAGCAGCCTTTTCCACTTCTGCAACTGCTTCCTCGATATGCATTCTCTTTATACGACCTTTCCATGAAGACTCCATATCCTCAAAAAAATCATTAGGAACAAGAAGAAAAGAACTAAACTTTTGGTCATGTTCTCCATCCAGGGAGATCATTTCACCAATACTATCTGAAGTGCACTCGCATTCATTAACCTGGCCAAAAAAGGGACTAATATTATATACATGGAAAACAAACAGTATAGACACTTCAGGATCTATATGAATGCCTGCAAGATTTACACGTCTCAATCCACAGCAATCTAATAAATTTATAATCGTCCAACCAACAGAGTGCTTTCAATTGCAAAAGAAAGAGAAGATATACCAACGCCTTCCAAAAGATGCATGTTTTATAAAGAATCTAGTAACTTATTACGACTATTAAAAAACTTATACCTATAATTCAAAATGGATGTTTCATGGATTTTGAAAGATTTGTGTAATCATCCTTTATAGCAAGTCTCTGAGAACTAAGATTAAATGTATTTGAATCAAATAGAGTGGCAACTTTTGAGATTTATGTTAGGTTAAGCACTAGTGCCCTTCATAGAGAAGACAACAAGAATATACATAGGGGGCTCCATATTGAAGATTGTAAAGTGAATGTTTCATTTCCTGGAGGGGTCTTGAACCCAGATATTTCAAATTTCATGAACAAGGATCTAGCCATCTAGTTTGGAAGTTGGTTTTTCATTTAACCTATTCAACCATAAAACTTTTCCTGGTAAACTAGAGGACATAAAAAACCGAAAGAAAAAGAACAGAAAAAACAGTAAAATCAACTCAGCAGCTGTACTTACTAATGTCTCAAAGTCAATTTTCAACCCAGTTGCCACCCATGTAGGATCCATCAACAACTGCAGGATTTCACATAGCTCAGGGGCTTTTTGCATGTGCAATATTTCATCGAGAACATTTTTAATTCTGCAGAACTCAATATGATTGGCCTCCCTCAGTTCAAGAAGCTTCACCAGCTGTGAAACATACAACTCAGGATTATTTACCAGGGTATAAAAAGGCACGCGTATATGG